CTCACCAACTTTTTAGTTGACTCTTTTCAAAACGACTTGTATTCTCAGGGATCTAGTAAGCAGGTAACAAGGGACGCGAATGCAAGACTTTTAGCTGTAGCTTGGATTTTTATGCTTATGTCTCTTTTGTGTAATTCGAAGAACGAATACAATATGTAAACAATGTAAGTTTGTTATCTCAATGTATGATGTTTGGATTGCTCTGTTTCATTTATATTCAATTGTTATGATACTGCACAATGAAGTCACCCACCTCCGGACGTTTCCGCCGTCTGGTCCGGGGGTGTGACAAAATCATATAGTAAAGACAATAGTAAAACAAATAGGAATACTAATCGTGGTCAGAACAGTAAACCAAATGGTTTTCGTCATGAAGTTGCTCTTTAATCCTTCTAATCTTTTCTCCATATCAGGTTAACAGTCTTCTGACCTCTTTCTAGACCCACAAAATGATGTTCTGCAGGATTATTGTCGACAGAGATGTATTGGATTGTAAGATATATCTTTAGGGTGAATTTTCACAGCTATTTATAGAATCGAGAAAAAACGTGTCACAAGTAAATCTTTCTGTCATATCCTCCAAGTTTGCAGGAGCGCGACACACTTAGTGAAGAGGCTCAATACCTTTTTGGGGTTTTCAGCATAACTTTTAGCTTCTTTCATTCCAACTCCATTTATCGGATGTTTTCCTTCCATTTAACCTCATCTAATATGGCCTTCGGCCCCCCACCTTTCAAGCTATTTAACTCTTGGATGCTTAAAGACGACTTTGAAACCATCGTTACACAGGCATGGTCTTCCTTTGACGGCTATGGACCCCCAGATGCATACTTCATTGCCAAACTCAATCACCTAAAGGAAGCTCTTAAACATCGGATTAAACATGAAAGTATCAAAGAAAAACAAGATTTGTTGGATACAAAAAATATGGTGACTAGGCTTGAAAAAGTTGATGAATCTCGTACCTTATCCAACACAGAACTTAAATATCGAGTTGATGGTTTGCATAAAATCCTTGAACTTGAGAAATTAAACATGCTTGATCTTAAACAGAAAGCAGAGATCAAATGGACCATCGACGGAGATTAAAATACCAGATTCTTTCACGGATTCATCAATAGCAAAAATCATAAAAGTATACTAAATGGGTTGTTAATTAACAACCAATGGTCCACTGATACGACTGAGATAAAAAAAGAAGTTTTTCAAATTTTCAAATCCAAATTCAGTGAACAATGGAGGGTCCGTCCAAAAATCATTAATTCTAAATTTCGATCCATCTCTATGATGGATGCAATCAGACTCGAAGCCCCTATTACTCTTGAAGAAGCCAAAGTGTAACATAGGCTTGTGGTGGTGAAAAGGCCCTTCGCCCAGACGGATTCACATTCCAATTCATAAAAACTTCTAGAACCTATTAAAGGATGATATTATGAAAGCTATTCGACACTTTGAAGACATTGGTAGACTTTCAAAGAGATGCAATTTGTCCTTCATTACACTAATCCCTAAAACTAAAGATTCTTCTACCCTACATGAATATCGCCCTATCAATCAGATAGGTTGCCTCTATAAAATAATCTCTAAGATCTCAGCCACGCGAATCAAAAAAGTAATTGGATGTATAATTGGAGAAGAGAAAACAACTTATGTACATGGACGTAGCATTCTTGACGGACCACTTATCATCAACGAGATTTGGTCATGGTCCAAAGTCGTAAAAAACAAAATCTTGCTTCTAAAAGTCGATTTCCACAAAGCATTTGATTCTGTTAATTGGGAATACCTATTCTCAGTGATGATACAAATGGGATTTGCTAATAAATGGATTTCTTGGATACATGGATGCTTGTCTTCCTCTAGAACCTCTGTGATCATCAACGGAGCACCTACTAAAGAGTTTAACATTCAAAAAGGAGTTCGTCAAGGAGATTCACTCTCTTCCTTTCTGTTCATAATCGACATGGAAGGACTCAATGTTGTGCTTCAATCGACAGTGGAAAAAGGCATTTTAATGGAGTTCAAATACCTGGTAAGGGACCTACACTATCTCATTTATTCTATGTCGATGATGCCCTGTTTGTTGGTGAATGGTCATGCTCTAATCTTCAAAATTTGGCAAGAATACTGAATTGTTTCCACATCTCATCGGGTCTTAAGCTAAACTTCCATAAATCAAAAGTCTATGGTCTTGGAGTTCAAAATAGTGAAGTTTTGAGCTGGGAAAATTTACTTGGATGTGAAGCTAGTTCACTCCCATTCACATACCTCGGAGTTCCTGTCGATGCCAATATGAACTTAATAAAAAACTGGAAACCTATTATAGATAAATTTCACTCCAACCTTTCCTTATGGAAGGCCAAATCACTATCATTTGCTGGACGACTCACCCTTATAAAATCAGTGTTAGGAAATCTCCCGAGTTACTTCTTATCACTTTTTGTTCCACCAAAAGGAGTAATTAAGAAGTTAGAGAAAATAAGAAGAAAATTCTTATTGGGTGGAAATGAAGATAAAAGTAAAATACACTGGATATCATGGGACAATATCATCAAATCCAAGAAAGAAGATGGACTTGGAGTTGGATCGATTAGAGCCTTAAACATTGGGCTAATTGTAAAATGGCTATGGTTAAAAATAGAAACCTCCTCACTATGGAACCAAGTCATCACAGGTATGCACAATCTTACTTCTAAACCTAAGAATTATTTTTGTTGCAAAAAGATTACAGGAACGTGGAAAGAACATTACTACCATAACAAAAGAGACGGAGAAAAACGGATATACCATCAGATACATTTTCAAGATATCAATAAAATCCAGAGAAGACACGCTATTTTGGCAAGACAAGTGGACTGGAGATCAAACATTGCAAAAAAATACCCAGAACTGTATGATCTTGAGCCAAAAAAAAGATACAAATGCTCAAAAGCTTTCGGATCACAACACGCCTTGGAGATGGAAATCTTGCCCCTTAATGGCAGGTTTATCACAACAAATATGCGATATACACAGTGACTTCACAAACACCGAACTCAGCACAGGAAAGGATCAATGGAGCTCTCGCCTTACTGTAGATGGAAATTACACAGTGGAATCACTTAGAAAAATAATCGACGTTTCGCCTCTCTCAAACACTGAAATGTCGGTTACTTGGTGTAAAGAAACCCCTCTAAAAGTCATATGTTTTAATTGGAGAGCTGCACAAGAATGCATTCCCACAGCATCAGCACTAATCAATCGAGGAGTTCACTTAACATCACCTTTCTGCACTTCATGTATTGGTGAATTTGAAGACTCCAATCATCTTCTGGTTCAATGCCCTTTCACTAAAGCTACTAGAGACAAAATTATTAACTGGTGTGGCACATCGTTACCTCCATCATCCAACACCAAGGAGTTAGTGAAATCCATTACCAAATGGGGCACATGTCCAAGATAAAGAATAAGGTTGATAAATATCAGTTATGCCATGTTTTGGGAATTATGGAAGTTTTGTAATGATAAGATATTTCGTAATACCTTTATCAATCCAACAAATGGATCTGGTTATATAAAATCGTTAGCATTCACATGGATGAAATATAGGAGTAAAAAAGTCATTTGTAATTGGGATGATTGGTTAGCATCTCCTTTTTCTTCTCTGTAATTGTTAAAACTTTTTTTTGTTTGTTCCTGTTTTGCCTCTGCTTTGCTTCTTGCTCAGTTTGGGTGCTTTATAAAATTTGGCCGTTTCCAAAAAAAAAATATGAAAATTGGTAAATCAAGAAGGAAGCATGTCCACTAAGTTTTACAATGCATGGAAAGTTTTATGATATGAATATTTATTAATACCTCCATATGAACTTAAAAGAAATCATTAACATATTTTCCTACCACTTGATTTATGAGGATGTTGTATCCTTTGTCGGTTGGATGATAACTATCCCAAAATAGGTATTTTGAAGGATCAACACATGTTGGGAGGAATCGATTGCATAAAATGGCAGCCTCTAAGTTTCCAGTGCCACAACAACCTTTATCCACAACTTCTAGTCCTGAAATATAAAATATAGAACTTTTGAGAAAGAACAATAATTATTTAAAAAAATATGAGAAGGTAAGTAATTAATATAAACATTTTGTTCACAGAATACCAATGAAGTAAAGTTATTTTGTGAGTAAAATGTTCTAATTGATTACCTTATGATAGTACATGTTTTAAAATAATGGTGTTTTTGAAATATCAAATAGTTTGTTATCCACTTATGACATTAACCTAATATTTTTTTATTCCAAACAAAAAGGTGTTATTTATGGAAATCCAAGAAACGTAAGTGTATTATGTGAGAGGCAAAATTAGGTACTCAACAGCCAGCTAAAAATCTCAAACAATGAAAACCAAAAATAAATAAACACCTACAACTGCCAATGCTAGTTTCATTTGTTTTATCCTAAATCCCAGATATATCATCCCATAATCATCTAAGTTATGACCTTAGGCACAACAAATAAAAAGTTAAATGTTAATGATATGGGTATGAACATTAAAATGAGAAATATAAAATACCATATTGACCAGGATGTTGCATAATATCAAGCAAGGGGTTGTATATGTCGATGTAGACAATCCTGGATTCCGGATGAGTTCTATTGAGATACTCAACTTCTGGTTGTAACTTGTTGTTGTATAATTGTGCTGCATTGTTTTGCTCTTCTGCACAAACTCTAAGTTCACCACCATTAAGTGTTCTTTGTGCTGGCAAGCACCCTAATGGAGGTGCACCAAAGACTGCAATTCTTCTAGATCCAAGGTTGTATATATCCTTCAATAGCTCAAATGTGTTAACAACAATAGTATATCGGAATATTACATTTAAATATAAAGCTATATAAGGATCCATATGGTCTGGTCGATTAGATAAGCGGGTTGACTAATCTATCTTACTTTTCAACTCAATATGTTATATAAATGAGTTTTATGTATATTGACTCGTTCACATTTAAAAATAAACACAAATACAACATAATTGCTAAAATAATGTTCAAAATATGTTTTTTATAAATGAGAAAATAGTAATAAATTTATTTTTTGATGGCTTTACAGGTTGGCATTGGTTAGAAATCAAGCCAGTTGATCCATTTAATTAAACAAATACAAAATTTCAACCAAATCCATTAATTTCGGATTTCTGTTAATGGGTTTGATAGATTTTCACCACCTCTAATCATTACGCATGGGACCTCGAAAATGCCATCTTTAGGTCATAATTTTAAATCTTACTAGATGATGAAAACACATGTTTGTCCATTTAGGACAAACTACAAAAAAAATAACTAAAATAAAATACCTGTATGAAGTTAGAAGCGGATGATACCATCAGATCCGTGTAAGAGGGTATATCATAATGCAATTTCCTTACACCGAGTGTGAAGTAAGTATTAGCAAGATCGTTGCTACTTGCAACCACTATGATCAAACTATTTGCCAATATAAATTGAGTTCTTTCTTCCCCCACAATACCTTTGAGCTTCTCAATATATCCTTTGAAATTGTTTAATTGATCTGCCAGAGACAAAACCCCCTGATACAAAATATATTTATACATTTCAATTGTGTCAATGAAAGCCATTGTATTTTTCCATTATTGTGGTTTAACAATTACATTTTAACTTCATCAACGATACTCATTCAAGTTCCCTTTCAAAAAATTTCAAGTTCACTTTCAATAAATTTCACCGAAGCTACTAAACTTCATAAAATTTTCAATTGTAACCACTTTAATTTCCTATAGTCTCACATCAAGTAAACGTGGTCAAGATATAAAAGTTATCAAAGATGGGTGACTTTCATTTCTCAAACCTAATTCTCGGTACACAACAATTTGTGTTTTAAAATTTTGTATTGTACAACTCAATCAAACATAAAATGTTGTGTGCGGATAAAAACTGTTATGTACAAATCACTTCCCTAAATAAAATGGTCAACCTACAAAAATAACAAAATTTACTAATTTTTATATATTTTCCCGGAATTAAGATCATTTATATGAACAAAAGATAATATTTTATATAAAAGCTAATGAAGTAAGTCTAATTTGCACATTACCACTAACTTGGGAGTTTCGGGATCATATCCTGAGCCACCGGAAGCAAAACTTACACCACTTAGAAGCTCTTTATCATTAAGAGATAGATCATCATATGCGGGTAAAATTTCTTTTACTCCTAGTTCTTCAGCTGAAAATTCAATGGAATATGCTAATTAATTTAATTTATTTAATAATA